TATCCATGCTGCTGACTATCCATGCTGCTGATTATCCATGCTGCTGATTATCCATGCTGCTGCTGTATTCATACCCATCTGCTCACCACCGACTCATGTTCAGGCTGCTGTTTAATACACCGTATACTACATTATTATCATTTAGCGTATATTTTAGATCCTTACATACTGTTACTTTTTATACTTTATATTTTTCTATTGTTGAGTGTAACTGGGACTTTGAGTACACCGTTTCGTTCCACCTCATGTACCACGTGTGATGAGAATGACAAAGAACCTTGAACTTGAACACGTTTGAATTCAAACAACTGATTTGTGCGTTTAGTCCAACGTTGTTTTGTTGTTGTGAATTCTGTACAAAAGAAAAAGCTGTAATTTTATTTGTGCCCGTCAGTAAATCTTTTCCAAACAATAATAATAATTTTAAAAAAAACAACTACGTAGATTTAGTTTAAATATCAAAATTCATTAAATCTGTTTGCTGATAAGAGATTTCAGTAGAAATCATTTAGAAAGGAAAAACATACTTTTCTAATTTAATTTATTTTATTTCAGCTGAGTGTTGCGACTCTGCTCACCGGTCAGAACTGACGGCGGTCGGGTCGCCGACTCCTCTGGAACCAGTTTCCACCTGAAACATTAAAAGTCAAAATCTCACAGTAGAAACAAAAACTAAAGTCTGTAGGTCAGAGTTTAAAGGTCAGAGTTCATTCTGGGTTTGTTCTCTCACCCTCCTGGTGGAACCGGAGCTCTGGGTGTTGGGACAGAGCCGAGGCTCTTGGTTCTGAGGAGGTTCTGTTCTGGTCTGACGGGTCCTCTCCTGCAGGGCGAGGAGCTCAGCTTGCCTCTTCAGTCGGTTCTCCTGTCTGTTCCTCTGCAGATCCACGGGGTACCGCTTTGAGGCTGGAACGAACTGACGAGTGGGTCTGGAGGAGCAGAGGTCAGAGGCCACGTCACAGCCGTGAAATGAAAGACACCGTAATCTCTGGATTATAAGCCGCTACTTTTTTCACAGGTTTGAACCCCGCAGCTGCAGCTAATTTATGTATTTTATTTTATCTTTATGACTGGATAGCTTCCTGCCAACAAAAACATTTAGCCTCGGCATGCCAGGGCGCTCACATACACGTCTCTCATGGGGGAGGGGCGTGTCCTCATGACTCAATGAGACGACCTGAATACATAAAGTTTAAAAAAAAAAAGTTCGACCAATGAAATTAGCAAACAGGTCACAACCGAACCAATGAAACAGGGAGGGGAGGAGAGAACAGGAAGGGGATCCCCCTGCATGTGTAGAGCATGTTAGTCTCACATGCTCACTGAACAATATTGCTCCAAACACAAGCTGGCAGGAGGAATATAGCAATCGATGACTTCCTTTGTGTTCGTCGTGTGTTAGTTTGTGTTTGTTGTGTGTTAGTTTGTGTTTGTTGTGTGTTAGTTTGTGTTCGTCACGTGCTAGTTTGTGTTCATCACGTGTTAGTTTGTGTTCGTCACGTGAAAGATTGTGTTCGTCACGTGAGAGATTGTGTTCGTCGTGTGTTAGTTTGTGTTTGTTGTGTGTTAGTTTGTGTTCGTCACGTGTTAGTTTGTGTTCGTCACGTGTTAGTTTGTGTTCATCACGTGTTAGTTTGTGTTCATCACATGTTAGTTTGTGTTTGTTGTGTGTTAGTTTGTGTTCGTCACGTGTTAGTTTGTGTTCGTCACGTGTT